GGGGGGGCTTTTTTAGCTCCTCTTTTTTTGTGTTTGTAAGAATAAATAAATTTAATATTGGGAGCTGTAAAAATATACATCTCAAAATTATAGATACTCATTTTTGAGGGTTAAGAATTTGCAAAGCGATTTTGAATGCTTATTTTTGCACGGTGCAAGAAAAAATTTTAATCATTGATTTTGGGTCACAGTTTACCCAACTCATCGCGAGACGCGTAAGAGAATTAAACATCTTTTGCGAAATAAAACCCTACCATAAAATAGGTGATACAGACGCATACAAAGCGGTTATTTTGTCGGGTAGCCCCTGCTCTGTGCTAAATGAAACAGCTCCAAAAATAGACCTCTCCAAAATAAAAGGTAAAAAACCGCTACTCGCAATTTGCTACGGGGCGCAATATTTGGTGCATTTTTTTGAAGGGGTGGTGGGGCAATCCAAAACGAGAGAATACGGTAGAGCCAACTTATCTTATTACGAAAAAAACGAAACGCTTTTTAAAGGGGTTCGCAAAAATAGTCAGGTGTGGATGAGCCATTCTGATACCATTTTAGAGCTTCCAAAAAATTACAAGTGCATCGCCAGCACCGAGCAAATAAAAAATGTAGCTTATAAAATAAATGGTGAAAAAACATACGGAATTCAGTTCCACCCAGAAGTATATCATTCTACCGAAGGCACACAAATTTTACGAAATTTTTTGATAGACATCGCCCAGCTGAAACAACAGTGGACAGCTGATTGTTTTATAGAAAAAACCGTTGCCGACATCCAAAAAACCGTTGGGGAAGACAAAGTAATTTTAGGACTTTCGGGAGGGGTAGATTCTAGTGTGGCAGCAGTGCTGATTCACAAAGCTATCGGAAAACAACTGAACTGTGTTTTTGTAAACAATGGGCTTTTACGCAAAAATGAGTTTAAAGAAGTATTGCAACAATACAAGGGGATGGGACTCAATGTAAAAGGTGTGGACGCAAGCGAGCGGTTTTACAAAGTTTTGGAAGGGGTAACTGACCCCGAGCAAAAACGCAAAGCCATTGGGCGTGTTTTTGTAGAGGTGTTTGATGATGAATCCAAACAAATAGAAAATGCTAAGTGGTTGGCACAAGGCACGATATACCCTGATGTAATTGAATCTGTTTCGGCTACGGGAGGTCCTTCAGCAATGATTAAATCCCATCATAATGTAGGAGGGTTGCCCGATTATATGAAACTAAAAATATTAGAACCCTTGAGAATGATTTTTAAAGATGAAGTGAGAAGGGTAGGAAAATCATTAGATATAGCCCATAGTATTTTAGGAAGACACCCCTTTCCAGGACCAGGCTTGGGCATCAGAATTTTAGGAGATATTACCGCTGAAAAAGTAAAACTTTTACAAGAGGTAGACGCTATTTTTATAGGGGGTTTGAAAAAATGGGGACTATACGATGAGATTTGGCAAGCAGCTGCGATATTACTCCCTGTAAAAACCGTTGGTGTAATGGGCGATGAAAGAACCTATGAAAAAGCAGTGGCACTGCGTGCAGTGACATC